TCTGATGGCCTGTTTCCGAATCGGATTTATACCTTGGATGGTATGAAAGATACCGAGTAAAAGAGAGAGCCAGATCTACAATCGAGAGAGATCCCTCACCGAAGTTATATACTCTCTTGACAGATAACATGCAATGTTATCATGTACGGGCCGATCACTGGACGGCTTTATGCAAGCATAGGCCAAGCACAGGCCCAGTGCCAAGAACCATTTACGCAGACAAGTAATGCAATGGGAAGTGGACAGCTGACGGGATTCATATGAGGGGAAAAGTATGAATGCAGAGGGGGGGAGTGTTTGGGAACAAGAGGATTTGCCGATGAAAAGCAGAGGAGGCCCAATTCCATAGTTAAGTGATAAATTTGTCATTAAATCGTTTAAGGTAATTTAGACATTAATAATCAAGTTTTTCGCACACTAAAATGACTGGGCCTCTCGATGCCAGTGAATTTCACATAGCCATGCGTTCTAAGAGGTTCACCCATCCAGGCTTGACTGCAATTTCGACCTCACTTTCCCATCATAGGGAAGCAAAACCGGGTCATACCTATCGTGCACATTGTGGCGACGGGTACCAGGGATGACGTGGCAGAAGCTATTGTGACGCAAGCCATGCTCCTACTAAAACACATCCAGTAGGGATTGCCGATTAGGTGAACTTGTATTTGACGTTAAATTCTATTAGAGTTGGAAATTATGGTCTACCATTTATAGGAAAACCTTTTATGATGCGAGGCCAATTCAGAGGTCTACTAATGTCATTGTGGCAAAACTCTTAGCAGACCTTACATAGCCTTAATCGACCTAGTGCTTACACAACAAAAACTGATAGTCTCGAAGATGCTTCCATCGAAAATCTCTACTTGATTGCATCAAAGATGACAGAGACGTGAGTCTGAGAGGAGATAATTATCGGCTACATGAAGAATTGGGAAAGTGCTTGAATGTTTAACGGGTCTATTGCCAGAGCATGGTACTTTATCTGCCATTTTATCAACTAATGAGATGATTCTACGTATTTGTTTATACACCCCGATAATGCTGATTAGGGAACAATTAAGTCGTTTGCAAAGAACACTGAAGGAGCGAGTGCAATAAACAAGGCCGAAAAATATGATGACTGCCAATCTGAAAACTCTAGCAACTGAAAATAAGGTGCGTCTACAATATAGACCTATCTGTGTTATATGAGAGTATATTTTGAGAGTATCGGTAAGTCTGGAATAAAAAATGTAATTCATCCTAGGTCGCTTAAGGTGATGCAGTGGATGACTGTTGGCTCCACCTTGTACATATAATTGATGGCGAGACTCAGTCAAGGTTAAGACTGTACACACTGTACATGCCTACTCGATTTATTTTCATTCTATACTATTTTTCGTATGTAAGTAGAGATTCGAGACTACCAGTAAATCAGTTACATGAGATGTATTCACCCTATTTCGTTTAAGGTCATGAAGGACTGGTAGTAGAATTTTTCCAAAATGATATGAGTAGATATGAACGCTACCGTTGAATTTCACATAGCCTTGCTTTCCCAAAAGTCGTACTCATCCAGGGTGGACTGCAGTTTAGACCTCGCATCGGTCTTAGCAACACCCCCAGCGGGAGTCGAACCGTGGCATTGCAGCATGTGAGCTTGACGCGTTGACCACTCGGCCACCTTGCCACGAGTGCCCTTGGGTCACAGGGCAGATGTGACTTTCAAGGAAGGCCAGGGCTTTTCCCATATCACCTTATTTGGTGGGATTGTTGATGAAGCAAACATATTTTTGCTATAACAATAAAATGCATTACTTATTTTTCTTATATGATTCAAGATCATATTTAAAGAAGGATTGACAATCTTCTTGGCTGTGCCTTCGTTTAGGCAATCTTCGGACCCCGTCTGCTGATTAAGTTGTTATAAGCTTTTGTGCTCATATGACTGGAATTATGTGGAGGAGACATGTCGACACATACAAAAGAGACTATCAGAACACAAAACCGCCTGCAAAAGTTCATGGGTTCCGAAATTGGAGATGGCTGAACATGTGGTCACCGCAGAACACTGGATATGGTCTAAAACCCAAATTTTCACAGCCTATGGAGACTTCACGGCTAAGAGGAAGCTAAAACTAGGCAACCGAAAATGAAAATATTAAACAACGCCCTGCATTGGAGGGGCGAGTGTAGGGAATTTAGCAAGAACTACCTCTGGCTACTTAATAGAACTAGGGAGGAGCAACAGCTGGACCGAGCCATCGAGTGAGACGAGAAGGCTTGACTAAGCTGGAGTCTGACTTGAGCTATAACATCTTAACTGACTCATAAGTATTGCATAAGAACAGTGCATATGCATCCACAAACCGCAAACAAGAGTGAACGAGTTTATTTAGTATAAGTAAAGGCAGTTTTATGCATCAACTTCACTCATCTGCAAGCTCCCAAGGCGAGCATAAAGTAGACAACTAAATTGTGAAAAGCATCAATAATATCGAAAAATTAGGTACAAGAAGTATGTTGGATCCCAGTTGGCCATCTTTGTTTCGTGTTTTGGTGAATTTTTGGTAAACGTTGATTTCGGGCTCCGACAATGGCTGCTACATCACTGACGAATGGAATATTCTAAACCAAGCTTCCCTTTATACGCTCAGGCTTCTCGGTAGGATCCCAAACTGCTTATTGGGCACACCGTTTATCACACCCACCACTTCGCCCTTTACCTCTCCTGTGGGCAGTGATAACATTCAGCTAGGGTGGATACTATAGGCACCTCTGAATAACAATGACTTCTTTGGATGTGCATCAGAATGAAACTTGCCGGCAAACTTAATCTTTAGCATCGATTTGTCGTGATTTAACCCTAACAACGTTTTCAACACCACATGCCAAAACTGTATACATTGTCACCATTCAGATTCCTGTTAGTTGCGACTAATACCATCGTTTCGAAGCCGTGTCTGCCCTCATTAAGGGACGAGCATTACTGACTTCCAAAGGTCTCGCCTAAATCGTATGTTTCGGCAATACTGATTCAGAAATGAACAGCATTAGAGGTGTAGCTAGTAACACATTAAGTAAACACAATCTTTGCTTCAGTGTCTTCGATTCCGGATAGAGGGGCTGATAAGGGCTAACCAAATCTAGTTGGATTGGACCAAGCCGTTGTCTTCATGTCCCGGCTACGCAAGTTGTAGTAGAGACGGGATAGATAGATAGTCGCTTAGATTATTGTCCAGGAATTTTCATTAAACAGCAGTAAAACATAAAATTGACTGGTAAACTGCACTCATTAATATGCAAAAGTGTTCAAAATAATATAACACTAAGATATAAGTCGTTCTTCAAATTCCAATTAAGCCAGGTCTTTCTGACTCTGTACTTCGCTGAATTGGACCCATCCGTCTTTGCGAGTCGTTTCCCATTTACTGATATAGCCAGTTCATCAACCAACATTTTAATGAGTCATTTTAGCTTTTTGAACTTAGCTTGTACGTCAGATAATGGCTATATTTGTCACATATCACAATTTTACTCCGCGTGGATTAAGCATTTTACACTACGCGTCTTTTTTGCTTTACAAACCTTACCTCTTATAGTGTCGAAGAAGATGAATAATTATTAAAATTAGTAATAAAAGGAATTGCGATCCCTCATATACCCCTGAAGGATGCTCTACTCTAGCATGTACTGTATTTTCGACTTCGCCTCGGTCTCATCAGCACCCTCAGTGGACTTAGAGCTGTGATAACAGGCAAACACGTTACCATCAGTAGCGTTACGCTCATGCGACCTAGGCAGCAAAGTGCTTTTTCTTTGAATCTACAAACAGTTCAAGTTTTTTTCCAGGCCCCGATGGAAGTAAGAAGATAATTCCAAGCCGCAGCATAGATGGGAACGGTCCTTTGGATAAGTGGCGCCATGATCTGGCCTTTCGCTTACTTCCTCGTGGTCATATTCACTATAAGTTAATGTAATACTACACAGCAGCCGGGGCATCATAGCTACTGAATATTTGCCAATGTCCTGTTCTCTATTCCAACTATTGTTTGAGGTTTTACCCTTGTGCCAGACTATTTTATCGGGACTTGGTTAACAGAATATTTCATGCAAACTCGGGGCATCTAATCTCACCAGATTACAAAAATGAAGTTAAAGAGAACTCTTTTTTTTGCATGTGGTGCCCGATAGATAGCCCATTGACTCTGAGTCCATTGCTCTGCATTAATGCATATGAGTTGTCTTCGTCCTGAGCCCATTCATGGAACCTGGATGAATCTTATAGAAATACAGATTACAGAAAAATCTAATATACGAATTAAATATCATTTATACTTCGCCGCATACTACTCAAATGTCGGTTTTGGTAGCATTAAGACTATATAAATCAATCATTTTGTTCTATGAATTGGAGATGTTTAGAATTAAGAGCGCTCTTTATACGCTTAACAGAGTGAATTTTACGGGCCTTTACATGCCAGCCAAATGAGCTTCTTTCGGGCCCAAACAAGAGATTGCTTCTTTTTGTGCTCTGCTCGAATTATCTTTCGAGGATATAAAACTAATCCCGTATGCTTGGTACAAAAACGACTATTTTTATATCGTTTTCCATTTCAGCTAATGTTCCAACACTTCACTGGACTCCGAGTTCTTCGTCTCCAACACAATGATATCCATGATATCGGTACCGGGGCCTTTTATCTGCGCCGGCCTGACCTTGACGCAGCAAATTTGATATACAGAAACGATAAACAAATCAAAGAACTGATGAATACCCCAAGCAAATATTTACCAATTCACGCAGTCCACTTGAGCGCCTCCGCTTCAGCAGATGATGCACGAATCATAGAGGCAGCAGAGATGGCCGTCAAATCGGAAGCCAGAACCGAAGCCCAACCCAGACCGGAGGACGCAATGCATAATTTACCAGCTGGACTACTCCTACTCGACATCTCCGGTAACCAACGTCTAAGAATCTTGGAACCAGCATGGATGTTTGGCTTGAGTTTCTTAACAGAACTGTAAGTTTGAAAAATTTGTATAAAAGTTCCTGGCGCATTTACCTTAATTTTCTGCTCAAGATAATTGAAGACCTATAGAATAGATTATGAAGGAAGGAGTCGAATAATAAATTAAATTAAACTGGATGCTAAGTGATTAATTAGCGGATTGTGATCCTATCTCCTGTGAACGTGAGTAGTCATCAAATCGTGGCTATGCCCATATCTTCTTCATGCATCATGTTGCATCTGCAACATCCAAATTAAGTATTAAATTCGAAGGTATGAAGACCAAGATGGTGTGGCCTTTTGTGTGGTCGCAGTATCCTTTCGTTGTATAGAAGTTGTTTGACCTTTTTTTCGCAACATGGTCCTATTGGTAGGAAGACTTAGAGGAACGCACCTAGTACGGAGTCCATTGTCTGCATGATCATTTCCAAAGTTCAACCGTGGGCGTGGTACATTCCCAAACGCTTCGCCGGCATCGTTAGTGAGTTTCGCCGCTCTTAGCACCACATAACAACTCGTCCAAGAGACAAGTTAAGCCGATCCTTTGACCAAACGTGTGCTAAACAATTGTGGTATCTCTCCTTCTGCCCTGGGTTATTTGCGTTTCCGGTGGCATCCTATCATGCCTTCGCTATTACAATTTTTACCGTGTTTATTTATATATTGTGCTGTGTGTTCCTTTGAGCAACACGAAGCCTTAACACTCCAACTGTCGTTTTTACCCCCCACCCCTCTTTATCCTTGTGCAAGAAATGTTGATCAGAGTCTGCTTTAGTATTATGTAGTCCTCTTTCCCAGTCTTATCCCAGTCTCTCTCTTGCTCGGTAAAATCCGTCTGCTCTACCCCTTGTTTACCTATTCCACTCGACTCCTGCCACCACATTTGTCCTACTCGAGGTGTTATTCGCCCTCCCCTGTGTCTGGGTGACCAATTCGAGGCGCAAGCCTCTGAGTGTCATGGTCACCCCTTTGCTACACGTACCACGTCTCTGGTACAACAGACCTATCATCAGCCAACTAGCTCCGATCCCCGCCGTATCTATCCTGTTTCTATCCCTAATGCCAAGCTATTATTTGCCATGCCCTAGTCTCTTGTGTGTCAACCCACAAATGTTGTGGTACAGTTTGTTTTGATTTGGTTCAATGTTGAACTCCGGACTAGGTGCGTTCCTCTAAGTCTTCCTACCAATATGACCATATTGCGAAAACAAGGTCAAACAACTTCTAAGTGTTAAATTGCCAACCAAACCGTTTTGTCTCAATAAGATAGCAAATATTATGTACATGACAAAGGAGAATTTTAACTAGCCGCCTTTCATGGTTTTATATTTCGTGGAATTTTCGTTAACAATTATTTCTTACGACTTGAAAGCGACCACGGAACGGAAGAACATTCAGCATTGATTCCTCGGGGACCGGGCGCTGAGGATTTTTCCCACGTCCAACAATCATAACCGCAAGGCCATCCTCCTTTGGTCTTCGACGAGGCCAGCTTACAACTCTTTTCTAATCAAAGTATCCTTCGTAATAAAGAACATAGGAACAATAAAGAAAACTTTTGTATAATGTAAATGTATCATAGTATTTTTTGATTTC